CACGGTACATCTACAAAACGTTACAGATACGATGTTACGAGAATGAACAGCGTCGGTTTGATTTTCGAATCACGAGGCACGTGGCTAAGACCGAAGGTCAAAATGGAAGACGACGAGAGGGGTACGCGAGGTTCACGAGGCAGCTCGTAAAAGTCCGTCGCGGCGTCCCGACGACTTCGGTGGGCACGCGACGTGCCTCTCCCCTCTTCAAGAACGACGAGCCTGGGTCGTCCGAGTAGCAGCTGCCAGCTGATCACACGGCGTGGTGTGTCTCGTGCATGGCCTTGTGCACGCGTGCCTCGAATGTAGGAAGCGCGACCATGCGGCTTTGTATACGATGCTCGGGCCAGGCGATCGGCCGGGTACTAATGCAAATTAGAAATCTGTTTAAGAGGGTAATGATCAATACATAACCGGCGGCGGCGGCGGCGGCGAGCAGCGGCGGCGGTGGTGGCGTCGCCGGCAGGCGCAGACGCTGTGCGAAGAGAGTCATTCAATAAGTGTTATACGTGCCTCGTCGACGAAGGGGAAACGACTGCACGAGGGGTTGAACACCCCGTGACGTGCTACCCCCTATGGTCGTCACTGAAACTATCCGTCAACCGGTGATACACTGCCAGTCGACGCTTCTTTATCAACGGACGGGCCGGGTCAAGCGTTGTTTCCCTTTATCGATGGAAGGATATGCACAAATTCTATATCCACCTGACGAAAAGGAACCATCGTTACGTTTCTCAAGTTTGGGGGTTCAGCTTGACGAAGGCTCTCTGTCTCGGTGTAGGTACACATCATCGGTCAAGTGTTTTCGTAACAGGTGACGATATGAAATTGATATATCTGACGATCTGAGGAAAGTTTTGCCTTTGATTATTCATGAGATGTCTTCTTTTATGGATAGAAGGATACGAGATAATACCTCGTATTATCAATACGGGGCAATCCCTGTAGCATCTCTTCTTTTTATTCATCAATGAAGCATTTTTCTTTATCGATGGAAGAACATATGTTTTAACTAGCTCTTGAAATCACATCAATGAATGAAAGATTATTTCGTTTGAAGACTTTTCAAGGTTTTGTATCACCTTGCAAGTGTTGGTTCAGTAGAACAAAAAGGAGAAATGGTCCCCTTGCTTCCAGTAAATTATCGACCGGCTGCCCCTAACTGCGATATCTGCTAGCATGTATGTATCCAAATTCATTCTCACAGAGCGAAATTAAGTCAGTAGAAAGCGTGTTATAGGTGTGACACGCTCTTTTTCATGTCACGTACGTCTCTTCTCGTTCGTTTCGATAATAAATTCGTCGGCAGCTTGCCAATGATTGATTCTTCGATCGTTTGATCAAACTTTGGTTATACCACTTGAACTACGATACTTGATATATTATCAAATATATTCATGCATTTATGAGATCGCAACATGCAAAAATACGTAAAATATTCAACAAATGAAACAAATTTCTATTCCAAGTTCTATTTATCGGTAGATTGTGGATCGTTACGTAAATTGATATTTTCATGAACATTAGCCAATAAATTCTGATTCAAAAATATTACAACAAGTTCTACGTTCCTATAAATGTCCCATAAATGTATAAATATTCATAGATATCAGTATCGATTACAGTTATTGCATAGATTGAATCAAGCAGGACATCTTTTCGATCTGTTGAAGGTAACAACGGACTGTTTCACCGTGTCAATTCTAGAGGAGGATCGATATTTATGTTTTCGTGTACATTATGAACGTGGGAAAGGAATAGGGGAAAGGTTATTGAGGGAGATAAAATGTTGGGAGTTTGATTCGGTGGAATGGACGTAGGTGTCGCTGATATATCGATGGAAACGAACCTGTGATTGTGATCCAGGGTGGAATGATCCGTTTTCGGCGCTGAGGACACCAGTGCGTGGGACGCCAACGCGTGTGCGTGCGGACTGAGTCCAGGGTGCGGGGGCATCAGCCCCGTCGGTGAAAACCGGTAGAGATCACTGGAAGAAGTTGCAGAAAATTTTCTAACTTTTGCAAATTCATATTTTCATAGATATAACTGAGGTGAGAGATGAAACGTTTCTTCAGTTATGCTTTTCGAATATTTAATTCCTTGGATATTTTATATATTCTTGATATTCTTGTATCTTACAATCCTAAGGTTCGATTCTTTTAACTTCAACGATCGTTCAAATTTTACGCAAATGCATAAACATTCGTAGTAATAGTGAGTTTCATGAATCATGATCGGTTGAAAGTTGACATGATAAATGGAAATGATGACTTCAACTTTTTGAGCGATATTAATTAGTAATTGATAATTACAACTATTAATTACAATGAAGTATAGAAGCATTAATATTTACAACTTATACTCTAAATAAATGAAATTGAAAAATTGCTAATATTAATCAATTCATTTTTGACGAGATTAATATTAATTGAATGTTCCAACATTACTCGCAAACAATAATAATTTCACAATTTAATGAAGAAAAGACGCAACATTTTGTTACATTTAGATTGTAATTTATTACAAGAAGAGTTTATTCACAGTTGATGTTGCAAATATTGAACATTTGTTACGCAAGTTGAAAGTGCGTATCTTTTCGCCGATAGAATTAGTTGTACAGACTTTGCATGTGTAGATTCGAGTAATGTGTAACAGAAATTAGAATGTTTGAATGAACTTGACAAATCCGATTTCGATCACCTACTAACCTTGGTAAACTAGAACTTGTGATGGGCAAACTCGTGGGATATGGACTTCGGAAACCAGTGCTTGCCGGGGAAATGGGGTACATGCTCGGTGTGTGCCTGAAACGAAATCGTTGCTTGTCAAACAAAAGCATTAGTCCGAAAGCAATTGTCTTCGCACACTGCATTCACTGTTGTTAGTTAGTAGTTCTCACGACTTCTCGGGTGTTGCCTTTTCGAACGTAACTCGGTAATTCTATTTAGAAAGGGAAAGAGTTCGGTCGATCAATTTCACGGAACTCGGTCATAGAATTTCATGAGAGGTTTCAGCCATCAAAATGGAATTTAAATCTCCGTCTTTTTAATCAAATCCTCCTTGCCCGTTTCCTCACTTTTACAAAAGTGTCACTTTGTTTCACTTCCATGAAAGAATAGAATTTGAATATCAATGTTTTCAATCAAATTGCCCTGTACTCTGTGCCTTCTTCGCTTTCCATAAAATTGTTTCTCTTAATCTTTGAAGTGAAGATTCCTTCTGTTGCCTTAAGTTACTTGGCAACAAAAAAATTACCATCATACAAATTTCTTCTTTTCTAACGATCTCTAGAAAAAAAAAGAAGAGCAAATTCCTTAAACAACAATTTAGAGAATTGAATTCGAATTTTCATTCTATTTCTATTTCTATTCGAATTCCTTCGTTCGACGAGGATAATTTTTCGGGAAAGGTCACGAATC